GAATTTAGTGGAGACGGGTCATTTTGACCCGGAGGACAAAGGGTGTATACAGAAAATGAGGACAACAGGAGGGTTAAATACACTAACCTCACTCATTTGTAACAATTAAGGCAAAAATGTAATTAATTCAGAAAATTTTTTCAGGACCCCACTTTGGGCCCCGACCCCAACTTTGGGAAATACTGCAGTACAGTGTACCAAATAAAATAAAATAAAGGATTTTGCTACTATGGAAAGAAATTTATCTCTGATTTTTCAAACGTTGCAAACACTAGTTCTAAAAGTCCCCATCTTGTTAAACGTCTACAACAAAACTGAATCCAATAGTCAATAAAGTCTGTTTTTAAAGCAATATTAATTTCAAGGTTATGCAGTTCAAAAGGTTAATTAAAAACTCTAAAATCTGACAAGCTTATTTTTTAAAAATAAAATATGTTCTAACAAGGTTCATCTGAACTTAAAGCGTACCTCATACTGTAAGCTCCAGCTCCAAGTTCCTGCCCGATGCCGGAGAGACTGGCATCAAAGTCCTGGGCCAGACCGGACTCGATCACCTCATCTGTGAGGGGCAGCTTGAGGGCCCACGCCATGCCGGTGATGGTCGGTGACGACGCGCTGATTTGACCACTTCACCTGTTTCTCACAACATGGAGACATTTAAAGGGCAAGCGTGTGCCATTAGAGATCATCTATCCACGTCTCGTTCCAGAGAGATAACATGAGGAGTGAACGCGTCAGTGGCAGGTTTCTGCTCTGAAAGGTGCAACGAGACGAGGATAAAACTGGGACATTACGCACTTCTCCGTGCGTCCTACTTGTTTGTTTTTTAAGCACACTGCATGCTCTAACTAAAGATGCAAAATCTTACCTTTTGATTTAAAAAAAAGAAAGTCTTTTCTTTACTCCGAGCCAGTGTCATGCCATGATCATGATGCCGAGATCATGATTTGGCCAGATGTAAAATAAACATGTCGAGCTAAGCGCTTGTTTTACGAAGGATATTTGTCCTGTTTTATCTCAGCTCCTGGCTGTTTACCTGATCGCTGTATTGCTGCTAAACGTAAAAAGTATTAAAAAAATAAATCAAGCACCTTGTTTATTCTTAATATAATGCCTTTTGTTTATCTCTTTTCGTCGGAAAAGGAGACTGCCGTCATTTCCGGGTTGCGCTCTTCTTCTGTGGCGCCATGTCTGTGGCAAACATAAAGGCAGGAAATGCTCATTACTGCCACCTATTGCTACGAAGACGAAAACTACAGGGGGCTCTCAGAGCACAAACTCCCTCCAAGACCTGAGGGTCACTCACGCTGAAGATTCAGATCACAAAAAATAAATAATTTGTTTTATGTGACAATCTCAACATTTCCCGAAAAGGTCGTTAAAATCTGTTTAGAACTTTTTGAGCTTTGTGCACACAAATACAGACAAAATACCAGCTACTGAAGACATAACCTCCTTGGCATATTATTAAATTGTCATATTATATCAAAAAAGAAAAAAATTGTATAGGTCTTCTGGACGGGTTCTTCTCTAATGAAACGTTTCGTCTCCCCTCTAAGAGACTTCTTCAGTCTGAGAGTTTCAGGCAAAATTCAGGCTTTTAAGCCCTGCCTCCATGTGACTGATACTCACATTGGCTATCGTTGACACCTAATTAACACTTATTGTTAACAGGGGGTGGAGTGATACTGGCAATGGCAGCGCTGTAGGAGGGGGACAACTGAAAACTGAGGCCTCCACCTCTGTTTAATGATGGACGGTCTTTCTTCACAAAAATGGCTTCTTTTACTCCTCTCTCAAACCAACGTTCCTCTCTATCAAGAATGAGAACATCCTCATCTCTGAAAGAGTGACCGCTGGCCTGTAAATGAGTGAAAACTGCAGAGTTCTGGCCATTAGATGTAGCTCGTCTGTGTTGGGACATTCTTTTGAACAGTGGCTGCTTTGTTTCCCCGATGTATAACTGGTCGCAGTCCTCCTGGCACTTAGCAGCATATACAACATTGCTCTGTTTGTGCCGGGGCACCGGATCTTTTTTATCACTCCACCCCCTGTTAACAATAAGTGTTAATTAGGTGTCAACGATAGCCATGTGATGTGAGTATCAGTCACATGGAGGCAGGGCTTAAAAGCCTGAATTTTGCCTGAAACTCTCAGACTGAAGAAGTTTCTTGGAAGAGAGACGAAACGTTTCATTAAAGAAGAACCCGTCCAGAAGACCTACACGTTTTTCTTTTTGATTTTTTTACCTTTTTTATAGGACATGTCATATTACAGTATGTTAACATTTATTTTAATTGGTCGACAAATAAGCCTTTCTGTCAAAAACTTCAGAATAAAGGTAGAGACACTGTAAAAGTTAAAGAAGCTTTGATGTACCGATAAAAAAGAAAAATACTCTCTGCAGTAAATCATTGTAAAATTATTTCTTATTATTTAGACTCTACAACCAGCACTGCTCCCAACAAACACAATGAGTATTCATGCTTGTTTGCACAGTAACCAACGCTGTTTCTCAGTCAGTACCTAAATAACAATCTTGTTGTTATTGCACATCTATTTTCTGTATTGTGAATGTCTGCCATTTACAATATATTTTACACGTGCACATTATGCACACTACTGGAAATGACAATTTGACTCAACTGCATACTTCATTATTTATCTGCACAGTATTGTTTTTTATTTTTTATTGTCATATACAGTATTTTGTTTATTAATTTAAATTTTTATTGTTATTTCTATTCTATTAACACTACTACTATTCTATTGGTGCATAGCAGTATGTTGTTTTTTGTGAACGGATGCTGTTGTTACACCTGAATTTCCCCTCCGCGGGCCAACAAAGGCTGCTTCTATTCTATTCTATTTACATTTGTAATGGAAACTACAATACAATATACAATATAAAATACAAAAATATTACATTAGCTTTTTGGTCAGCTGACATTTATTCTCTCTTTATTGCAAAGGTTTTTCAGAAACATTTCTGTTGTTATTACATTTGTAATAACAGGACTATTGATTGAACCTGCTCAGTAAATAAACATGTATTGTGTATTTTCAGCATTACAGTATAAATTAATACACTACAGAAACTGAATTCCTCAAAGTTTCAGGAAAAAATGTTTTCCTTTAACCATTCCAATAAAACTATTAACTATTAGTTTTACAATTATATTAATACACAAAGACATGGTTAATAAAACATGTTTATTTTCTGACAGAAAAAAATGACAAAACATTGTTATTTGTTTCACAAATCTTGTCACTTGTCTGCTTTGCAGAACAATATGAATATTGGCTTTATTTTATTTTTCTATGAATTGTTCCTCTTTTCCTCCACTGGATAACTGAGTAAATTAAACACCATTATTGTCTTCAGTTGTTTTAAACCTATTTAGCTCTAATATTACTCCAATAATGGCCTGATGTCTTTCAAAAAACAAATATAAGGCAGCGCACTTAATTAAAAATTTAACGTATTTTTACAAATTCAAGACATTTTTGCTATTAATGCATATCAATTTTTCATATTCTGTACTCATTTACATTCAGTCTGCATAAAAAGTCAATAATAAAGTGACAAATTTTGTCAGTACTGCTACAATTGACAAAGCCTCTTACTGATCAAGGCCAATAAATGCAAACCTTTGATTAACTTTACACAAAAAACAAAAACATGTCACTGAACACAACCAAAACCTAAACTGGATGTAAACCATTTAAACCTTTTCACTTTCCCTGCTTTCACTAAAGTGCAAACAAATCTTTAGAAAGTTGCAAAACAAAAAGCAATTSCCAAAGTTTGTCTCCAGTTGAAAATAACTTCATATCACAAAGTGTCCACTAACTTATCCAAACTGAAAACCATAACACAACATTTCTTCACTTAATTACACCTGTTAAGTCCTATAAACAGTTTGAATGATTCTAAGCTTAATAAGAACATGTAGAGAAACGCTACCGTTCATGAGACTAAATGAAGCTGATTTAAATCCTTATTCTTTATGAAACTCTGTAAGTAAAAAGCCTCATTGTCAGGTTAGAAAGGAAAGCGTCAAAATGGTTTCATTAAAAAAAAAGAAAAAATACTCTGAGCATAAAACGCACATAAAATAAAGTCTAAAAAAACTAAGACAAATTGGAGTTTTCACACATCATGTGGCACCCACACTGAGATTTAGAATATCAGTTCATAAAAAAAATGTCCCCACAATGTTAAATCAAATTATTAAAAACTCAGACAAAATAAAAAAAAAACGCAGCGTTAGTTGGAGAAGACGTGGCGGTGTTTGGAGCGTCAGATTTAACTCTTCCTGTGGACACAAGTTCACACAGCTATAAAAAAGTGAATAATACATAATAAGAATAATAATACATAATAAGARGGAATAACTGTAGAGTTTGAACTCATCTTTATGATTATCCACTGAGAAATACCAAAATGATGATTGTCCCTCAGCTCTAGGGCTTAAAAAGGATCTATCAAGCCTTATGCCTGTCTGCACTGCTGCTCTTTCTGTAAAAGTACTACTTAGATATGAAATAAACAAGAGTCTGGATTAAATACATTACCTTAAAAATAGGTTGAAATCAATATGTCTGTCTGTGTGTGTGTGTGTGTGGGGGGGGGGGTAGCTTGTAAAAATCTGAAACATCTTAAACCTGTGAGATTTAAAAGGACCATGCAGTATAACTGGGTAAGCACCACAGGAGTGATGTTCACATTTACAACTATAGAACTAGGGCTGGGCGATAATTCAATAACTAGACATATATCACGACAGATACGTGTTCAATGTGAATAAAAAACACGTCTGATATATTATYGATAATTTCACTTGGTATTACTGTAACTGCTAACGGTTGACAACTTTCTGATTAAATAATCTAGGATTTTTCAGYTAAACACCAGGAAAGCTAAGATGCATCTTCAAAATAAAAGTTTCAAGCTGTTAATGGATGACAAATCCCCGCTTAAAAAAATAATAATAAATTGCTCACGCTTTATTTTGTACGGAAGCCAAAAGCGGCCAGTTTTTGCATGTAATTATTTTCCATGGTTTTCTTGTGATTTCTCGTCACGAAATAACGAGGACCATTTTCTCGAGAGAATGAGTTAATTTCCAGATGGTTTTCCGCTCTTCAGAAAACATGGAGACAGCCTGGTCCCCCTCAGCTGGTCATCGATGAAGTTTACTATTTATTTATTTATTTATTTAACCAGGCAAATCTGGTTTAATATAATGTACAGAATTTTGTGTCATTTGTGTATCAATACACAGAGTGAAACTGTGATTTGTTTTGTCTTCTACATATAACTTTCATATCAGCACTCATCATTTAAAGAGACGGCTGGCCCGACTGCAGATCAGCAGGAGGTTACACAGTGATCCTGCTGATATAATAAACTTTATCGGTGACCATCTGAGGTGATCGGGCCGTCTCCATGATTATTGAATGATGCACAGAAAATCATAACTTGTTATCTGGAGAAAACCATTGTGAAATAATTATATGTTGAAGACGTCCSCACTCGGCTTCTGTAATTTTGAAATGTGTAAACCGGGAGGTTTCTCTTCCTCTTGTCGGCACATTCGAGCGATATAGCGCTAGCTTGCTGGACCAGTCCACCACCGTTAATATGAAATTAATTTTTGATTTAGGATCCTTCACACTGAAATGAGGCATCTAAATTCTGAAGAGGGTGTCAAAAACACCTCAAAAGCTAAAAGCCTGCAGCTGAACAAGGTAAACCAGCAAAAAACGTGGAAAAACGAGCAGATTAAAAATGAAGGAGAAAAAACGGCATGGAGTGAAAAGAGAAAATGAGTGCAACAACTCGAGAGGAAACTGTGGATAAAAGAGAAAAGGTCACATCACCACTATGGCAGATATTTTAAGTTCAACAAGAGTCAGACCGATGTCTAAAACAAACCAATAATTATCAATATCGCCCAGCCCTACGTAGAACACAAATCTTTCATAATACATGTCATTTCCTTCTTGAATTACTTTCTTTCAACCTTAATGTGATGAACTCTGAACTCAATCTGCATCTGTGCTGCTGCATTACACACTCCGATTCCTAAAAGTACAAAGCGTGAGTGGAGGAGAAATGTCCCAGAATGAGGTCGCTGTTAAACCTGGAAGACATTGATCTTGCTGGTGTTTTTCAGCGTCTGTCGTCGGTTGCAGAACCACACTCGTACAACCTCCCTGTCGTAGTTCAGTTCTCTGGCGATCTCTGTGATCTCCTGGCCCGTGGGTAAGGCGTTCTTCTCAAAGTAGGAGTTCAGCACTTCGATGGCCTGCGGCGTGAAGCTGGTGCGCCGCTTGCGCTTTTTGGATGGCTCGCCTCCGACGAACTCCATCAGATTCTGCTGGCCTTTCTGGTTCCAGTGCTCAGCCTCGGCCAGCCACTTCTCCAACACGGGCTTCAGCTTCTGAGCGCTCTTAGGGGTGATGTCCAGCTTTTCAAACCTGGTGACAAAGAGAACAATTTTACGTACCGTGGCTCCATTAAGAGAGAAAAACTAGACGATCTTCAAAGAAAGCTTGAGGGGTGCCAAACTCCAACATCATTTGGGGCTTTTTTTGGTTAAAAAAATCTAAACTGACAAAATGTTGCTGTTTTAATGTCCAAGAACTTTAATCACACCGAGATCAAAATGTTAAATCTGATGGCAGTGAATGGATACAATGGAAAATTGGAAATCTTAAGGCCCTGTCACTCCAGACAACTTATGAAACATGTTTTATGTCTAAATTGCTAATAAGTCATATTTGATCAATTTGTTTACACTATGAACACACCGTAACGAAGCTTCTTGTTGATTTTTTAAATTCCATCTTCATTGTAGATGTCTTTAAGATGTTCATAAGTTGTCTAGTGCGACAGGGCCTTTACAGTAGTGCGAAACACTTAAAAAAAGGCAAAAATCCCTAAGATTTGATGTACAACCTATAGTGTAAAAACTGTTAAAACATGGAGTTAAACATTTGAAAAGGTTTAGACAACCAATAAGTCAAAAACCTTTGATAAAATAATATACATATCAAAATTCCAGTTCAGTCAAGTGTTGCTGCGGAGGTTAGAGACGACAAGCCTATGATTGGTAGATTGCAGGTTCAAATCCAATAGATCTGGGTGGCAGTGGTGGGATGTAACAAAGTACAAGTACTTTGTTGCTGTACTTAAGTACATTTTTCATGTATTTGTACTTTACTTAAGTAGATCTCATCATGGGTACTTTTGACTTTTACTCCACTACATTTTACATTATAGTTGTGGGGTTGCGTTGATCCAAGCAACTGTACAATATCGCGTGGACATCGGGAGGCAGTTCCCCTGGATTGGCAGACCAGGGTGGTGGTCTCCTTACTTAAAAAGGGGGACTGCAGAGTGTGTTCCAACTATAAGGGGATCACACTTCTGAGCCTCCCTGGTAAGGTCTATTCAGGGGTCCTGGAGAGGAGGGTCCATCGGATAGTCGAATCTCGGACTCAGGAAGAGCAGTGTGGTTTTCATCCAGGTCGTGGAACAGCGGACCAGCTCTACACCCTCAGCAGGGTCCTGGAGGGTGCATGGTCTCTCACTGGAGCGGTTCACAGCCGAGTGTGAAGCGGCCGGAATGAGGATCAGTGCCTCCAAATCTGAGACCCTGGTCTTGAGCCGGAAACTTGTAGGGTGCTGCCTCTAGGTCGGGGAGGAGGTCCTACCCCAAGTGGAGGAGTTTAAGTATCTCAGGGTCTTGTTCACGAATGAGGGAAGAACGGAGTGAGAGATCGACAGGCGGCTTGGTGCTGTATCTGCAGTGATGCGGGCGCTGTACCAGTCTGTCGTGGTGAAGAGAGAGCAGAGCCAGAAGGCGAAGCTCTCGGTTTACCGGTCGGTCTATGTTCCTACCCTCATCTATTGTCACAAGCTTTGGGTAGTGACCGAAAGAACGAGATCGCAGATACAAGCGGCCAAAATAAGTTTCCTCCGCAGGGTGTCTGGGCTCTGCTTTAGAGATAGGGTGAGAAGCTCAGTCATCCGGGAGGGACTCAGAGTAGAGCCGCTGCTCCTCCACGTCAAGAGGAGCCAGTTGAGGTGGTTCATCTGGTTAGGATGCCTCCTGGACGCCTCCCTGGTGAGGTGTTCTGGGCAYGTCCCACTGGGAGGAGGCCCAGAGGAAGACCCAGGACATTCTGGAGGGACTATGTTTCTCGGCTGGCCTGGGAACATCTTGGGATTCCCCCAGACGAGCTGGCCCAAGTGGCTGGGGAGAGGGAAGTCTGGGTCTCTTTGCTTAGKCTGCTGCCCCCACRACCCGACCCGGGATAAGCATCAGAAAACGGACGGACGGACGGATCATTACCATAATTAATATTAGTTCCAATTGATTCCCATGAAATATTTTCCAGCTTTGGAAATTCCTGGACTTCTGTGTGGATAGTTTTTAGTACAAACAGGACTTTTCACAGGTAGATTTAGTTTGAAATGCCAGAATGAGAAAAGTTCACACATAGGAGCGTCTTTTACAGCTAAAGAGCACCATCCTGTGAAATGTTCCACATGTGCCTTTTTATGCAGAYGGATAAAGGTGTGATATGGGGGGGAGGGATAAAGGAAGATGGGGTGATTTACCTGCAGATGGCAGACTGGCTGTAAGCCGGACCCTCTGTTGCTGTGAGCGCCTGCCCTACTTGTGTCTGAGTGAGACCCAAGGACAGCCGTCGGATCTTAAAATTCTTGGCAAACTCTCGGATTTCTTCCAAATTAATGCCTTCCTCACTGCTGACTGTCTGCTGGGGTTCTGCAAATGTGAGGCGTCGAGTTAAAAATATCTACCTACTTCAAACGAATCTCTSACAGGGGGAGGGAGGGGGGAGGGGGTACGTACTGCTAACGAGCTGGCCCACTTTTGCGATGTCTCCACAGGTGATAGGAGCTGTTGGGGAGAGTGTGGTCGGGCTCTTCAGCACAGATGGCTGTGGTGCGATGACGACTGGTGACTGAGTTACTGTTGTCACTGAGGGCTGGGAGAAAACAGATAGCAGTCAACACCCTGAGAAGTAATCTGTTATGATCCAAAAGGACAATAAGCATCAAGCTCAAAGTGAATTCGTAGTATCAACTTCCTGAATCAGATTTCCCTCCTACCTGTGTGTTTGTTTTGTTCAGTGTCGGAGGAGAGCTGGTTTTCGGCAGAACKGCTGCAGAAGTTACGACAGCAGCAGGTCCGTTCCCCACGGCAGCAATGATTTGACCCTGCGTGTTGAGGAGCAGCTGCGGGGTGACGGTCTGGACCTGGAGACCCTGGAGGGGCAGAGTGGGAGTCGCAGCCCCTCCGGCCAGAGAGGCTGGGTTCACTAACAATGGGAGAGTTCCTATGACCTGTTAGGATTGTTAAAATAATTTAAAAAACAAATACATTCAGACAAAGCACGCACAGATCTGATCGGTAAATAAAACCTCACATAAATATTTTAAATGAAAACATGTCCATTAGACATGTTCATCGTAAAATAATTAATGGGAAACTTTTGATTTCTGAACTCAGTTTATAAATAAATGAAATTAATTTAAACCAAAAAAGGCTTGTATTGACATTTTTAGCTGTGACTAAGAATTTGAATACAGTATAACAAGACTAAATGCTGTWATGAATATCAATAAAACAATGCAGATAATACAGCAGAACCTCTACTTATGAATTTAAATAATACCAACAGGTAATTTGTATGTTGAAAGMAAATATTTCCCATGAAAACATTTTGGAAGTTAAAAGAAATTGTTCCAATGTCAACCCACCCATTAACCTCTTAGCTCTCAAATAATTAAAAGTATGGAAGCCAAGTTCAGCCACTTTGAATAAAAAAAATAAGCTAGTGTTGAATAATAATAATGAGATGCTGAGTCGTCACTTTAAGATAGTACAGTAAAATATAAATATGACTTAGAGCAGGGCTTTGCAACATTTATGATCAAAAGAGCCATTTCTACTACTTGACGCATTAATAAAATGTGTCCAGAGCCGCAAAACATGCTACAACTGTGATTATCAACTGGTGGTCTGTGGGCCTTTTCAGGAACCTTTATGGCCAGTGGAGTTGACATTATAAAACAAAAAATATATATACTGTGAATTGTGTTATTTACAATTATTTTTACACATCAGGACAAATAAAAAGACCATATTCATGTAAACAAGAAAAATACTGTATATAGTTTATGACGAATTTCATAAAAACTAGTTTTTGGATTATTCAGGTATTTTTTTTATCTAATTCTTATTATTAAGTAGTCTTCATATTCTTTAAAAGGTAATTCTGACAGATTTGAGAGAAAGATCATAGAAAGATGTTGGATTATTTAAGTACATAACAGGCTAGCATGTTTTACATTTTGTGTTAATATTGATCATATATTTGCATACAAATTCATTTCTGTTGTGGGTATAAAAAACACACAAACAAAAAATATTCTGTTATGTTTGGCCACATTTTCAAAGAGCCACTGCAGAGGGACCAAAGAGCCACATGTGGCCCCAGAGCCGCAGGTTGCAGACCCCTGATTTAGAGGATCTTTTATTAGCTGTGGCAGAAATGAGCTTCCATATTTAAGGGCACAACTAATGCTAATATTAAAAGCAGACTGCAACCGATTTTTGAAAAAATGCATGAAAGCTTTATGATTGTACGATTGAACGTCATTATTGATGGTATATGTTTATTACATGTATCTTCTAATTAGCAACTATTTAACTGGGAGATCAATCATCTCATACTGCAGGGGTGTCCAACCTTTTTTGAACCAAGAGCTACTTTTGAAGTCGGCAGTTTGCCGAGAGCTGTATGTGCGTGTGTGTGTATGTGTACATTGCATAACAGCAGCAGTATGTTCTGGGGCCTACCTGTCCTTGGGCGTTGGTGATGATCTGGCTGGTGATGCCCGCCATGCTGGACATGGCGCTGCTGATGATGGGCGTGGAGGTCAGAGAACTGAGAAACTGAGGCTGCGCACCCAAAGAAGCAGCGTTAATCTGAGCAGAAACATCACAGCGTGTTTCAGAGAGCTGCAGGCAAAGTAAAAACACACGGGTGTGGGATGTGAGCGGGAAGCCTTACGATGGCGGGGTTGATGGACAGTCCCGCGGTCTGAAGCGCCGCCAAAGATATGTTAGACTGAGAGATGGTGGGGGCGGCAGAGGGCGCCTGAGCGCCGGTGACCTGTGTTTGTTGAGGGGGCACGTGCTGCACAGCGCTCTGCAGCGGCTGTAAGGAGGCCGTTTGAGGCTGGAAAACTGTCGGCGCGCTCGTCTGCAGCTGAGGCTGGACTGAACTCAGGACCGTCGCAGCTGGGAAAACACATGTTCACTCAGAGGAAAAAAAATCAAGCACTAGGTGATCGTATCTGTGGACAAAAGAGGTCAAATGAGCTGCAGAAACGTTGGGTTTTACCTTGAAGGCCGGCAAAGGGCAGTTTGAGGAGGTTTCCAGCCGGGTTGGCTGCGGTGAGACCAGGAAGAGTTGCAACACTAGTGGTTGGGAGAGTGAGAACGGCTAAGCCGCCCTGGCCACCAATAGAACCAGCCATGTTGAGGGGGATGAGCAGAGGCTGACCCAGTGACCCCGTCTGAGCCATCATACCCGTCATCAGAGTGGCCAGACCTTCCTGCGTCAGCACCTAGAGTAGCAGAGAGTTTTCATTGCTTGAATGATTTTTTTATTTATTTAATTAGGAATTATTCAAAAAACAAGCATCAAGGTTATTTGTTACATATTTTGTTCCAGCAGACATACTTTATTATGTAAGAAAGACACCTTATATGGAGAACAGGTGCAGTCATTACCTGGGGGCAGCCCTGGACGGTGATGGGCATGGCGGYCTGCGGCGGAGGCAGGGACACGCTGACGGGTATGGCGGGAGCCAGCGTTTGGACAGCAGGAGCCAGAGCGTCTACAGACACCAMCTGCTGCTCAGCCGTCCCTGCAGGAGCACAGCCAGCGTTGAGCTTTACGCACGGTTCCTGTGAAAGCTGGCTACGGCTCCGTCGGTCAGGAGCAACGAGTCGTCTGGGAGCGGTCATCTGCTACCGGGACTTACCTGCTTCCCCCGAGCTCTGTGGCACCACGGGGCTGCTGGCCTCAGCTCTGTCTGTGGGCTGAGCCGACCCCTCCTCGGCCTTGTGCTCGCTCTTTCCATCGGGGGCTGACAACGGCAGAGAGGCATCCACCTCTACTTCTAGTACCCGGATTGTTTCATGGCCAGACATGACAATGACCTGCAGTGGTGAGAAATAAATACTTTACTTTTCACCATTAAAGTAATGCTGACTCAGCAAACATTCATTCAGGACTTTTTGTATTTGTAACTTATACTTTTCAGATTATTTAGCTTTATTTGTTTGCATTTTCTTAAAAACAATTCATTGAGATCTTGTAAAATTATTTTAAAATGTGCTCTTTGAAATCTTCAGGAAAAAATAGTGACTWAATGCTGAGTCTATCAAAACAGCAGCTGAAAGCTAAAAAGAAAGCAAGTATGCTGAAGATACGCTCCTGTTCTGCTCATTTTAGCTTTTGTTTGTATTGTTCCTTCATCAATTCAGTTTTAGTTTCTCCAACACATTTCAGCAAAGTGATTCAGCACTCGGTTATTTTCTGTGGGAAATGCTAATTTTTCAAGTTTACACAATAAAAATATACGTCAGTGATTTAATACCCCTTGAACTTTGCCACTTTTTGTGATGTTACAACCACAAATATCAAAGATTTTACTAGGATTTTAAGTGACTAAGCGTCCTCAGTCCTGGTCCTCGAGGTCCACTATCTTGCATGTTTAGATGTTTCACTTGTATCTGAGTGTTGGGGCTCCTTGATACCAATGATACCAAGGTTAGTGGTAACTGTTCACAGATTTATTTTTGTTGTGTTTCGGCGCACTGGATTGTATCTAATTTGTTATAACCTTTTAAAAAAAATTGTATACATGTTTTTAACTTTTGAACTTTTTTATTATGTCTTTGTATGTATTTGTACCATGTACTTGCTGTAACACTAATTGCCMTTTTGGGATACGAATAAATCTGAACCTGAACCTGAACCTCTGCTTCAGCATACCTGAAATAAGTAAATGAGAGATTAAAAGGCCTCTGCAGAACTTGAAGACACGCTGAAGAGCAGAGAAAACACTAACACATGCAGGATAGTAGCCCTCAAGGATCAGGAAATTTGAGCATAATTGTGAAGTGAAATGAAAAAGAAAAACATGTTTTTATGTACTGATTTTTTTTTAAAAGCATGGAGGGCCTTTGTATTCAGACTTCTTTACTCTGATACGTCTAACTAAAATCCAACGCAGCTAACCTAAGTCACCGTTATGTGTCCCTTTGTCATTTGTATTAAGTGTCTGTTTAATTAACACATCCTCTGCTTTCAGACCTGACTGAATGAAGAGACTTGAAAAGGAACCAGCTCTGTCTGCTGGATGAGGAGAGACGAGAGGCTGACGGATTTGGCCTCATGTTTGTCCTGCGCTCCATCTTCATGCTCACTTCCTCTCCCTCCTTTGACTACAGATGTCAGCCTTGCACCATGTCACATTCGTTGGCTGTCTTTAGTCGGGTTTRGGGKTTACCAGCAGTCAGGAGCCTATTGTGCGAATCCAGGCTAAGGGATTAAGCTGGGATTCGGGTGTAAACCTGAATTAATTAAGCCTTGAATCGGTTGCATGGGAGGGGAAGCGCTTATGTTCTTAAGTGCTCTGAAACTAGCCTGGTCCTGACCAGGTTTAAAGTGGAGCTTATTTAATCTGTTCATGTTTCTGAGCAGTAGACAGTCACTTTACTGTAAACATCTTTGTCCAGATATCTCGGCTGAATTAAGCCTTGATTTATTTTCTCATAGGCAGTGATGCACAAGTGTCCATGGTCATTTATTCTGTGCAGCTATAGCCTGCTCCAGACCAGGCTGTGCTCAGGGTGATGAGCTGTGTTGCTTTTATATCAAACATCGTTTTGCATTGTAGCCAAAAAGTTTGGTTTCATCTGACCAGAACACCTTCTTCCACATGTTTGGTGTGTCTCCCAGGTGGCTTGTGGCAAACTTTAAACAAGACTTTTTATGGATTTCTTTGAGAAATGGCTTTCTTCTTGCCACTCTTCCATAAAGGCCAGATTTGTGCAGTGTACGACTGATGGTTGTCCTATGGACAGACTCTCCCACCTCAGCTGTAGATCTCTGCAGTTCATCCAGAGTGATCTTGGGCCTCTTGGCAGCATCTCTGATCAGTCTTCTCCTTGTTCCAGATGAAAGTTTAGGATGACAGCTGCTCACTTGAACAGATTGTCTGTAATTGACGCAGATTTTCCTTCATTTTGCAGGTTTGCAGACAKGTAAGTGTTTAGAGTAATCTAATGATTTTTTTAAAAAAACTCAGCTTCAAATCTATTTTCTCTCRGAGCCTGCAGGATGATAAAAACAATAAATAAAATGTCAGATAAAGTTAGAAATATGTTCACCGCTCTTCTCCCCTGTCCTCCCCCTCTCTGCTCTGCTATCTGCAGCTGATCGTCTCCTCACCCACTCACATCCCCACAGCCTCACGCACGTGAGAAAAAATGGACTTTAAAAAGTGAACCCCGACACATCCACACTGGCGAGGGGCGCGCCCTGCGAGTACCCAAAACGTGACTTTTGCTGTCGTGCTGTTGAAATGTCTCTTGTCGGGGAGGGGTCTTTTAGTCAGGGTCGTCTGAGGAGGAAGGAGATGGATGGAGATGCATGAACTTTTATTTAAGATTTAAGTTTTATATTTCACAGGTCCTCATGGCTCAGCAGCAGAAGCATAAATAATACTGTTAGGAAAGCTGAAGTCGATCTAAAATCTAAGTCTGATTATGAAGTGAAATTAAATATCTGACAGTGATCATTACACAATGGGGCTAAATTTTCTCACTTCACCATCTGTGTCACCAGCTTCCCGTCTCCAAAATGAGCGTACGCATGGGTCAGAGCCAAGTAGGGGTCTCTGCGGACGAGTGGGCGTGTCACAAGGAAAGGCGATTCTAAAGCGACACACCTGATTTGACGGACTTTGTTAAAGGGACACACCTGACTGGACAAGCAAAAAAAGGGCGATAGTGTACGGCACCGCTTTTTCTGGAGAACCCTACTTGGGTCACATTTCTCCTGGTTAACCTTAGTGTTGGGGTCAGGGTCAGGCTGTAAAGAGATCAAGCAGGATCTCAGGATACCATCATGTAGGACTCGTAGCCCACAGTGTTTATGCTTTTGACACGCCCACTCTTGTGACACGCCCACTTTGATTACGCAGATAACCCCTTCTCGTCAGAGCTGGCGTGAGGCACCGCACATTTTTTCGTCAAGTTTGGATTTTATAAATCACAACCTTTGCATGAAAAGTGGCGTACGCAAGTTTCTGGGCTCGTTTTGTGCRTAAACAAGCTTTATAAATCTGACCCCTGGTCCTTTGAAGTGAACTTGACTGTCAGCTTTTGCACAGTAATTAGCTCTCTTGCTACCATTAATGCAAGTATGCCCTGGTACCCATTTAACAGCAACGCTGTTATCTCTCCCCAGTAAAATACTGTTAAGTTTGAGGTGGTGTCTCAACAAAATATGAAAAAGTTCAAGAGGTATGAATAAATGTCCAAAGCATTGTATATTAGTTTGATCGGTTTGCATTCTGTGAGAAGGTAAAAAAGCGAAATGCAGACTTTTTAGCTGATGATTTGTGGCACAAAACAATGAAAGAGAGGCAGCAAACCAAGCGGGGCAGGAGGACAGGGTGCAGAGACACAACGCAGGAAGAGAGAGGCTGATGCCTACCTGGTCGTCTCTGGCAGGGATTTCAAAGTGCAGGATTTAAAATGGCTGAAAAAAGACTTCTGCTGTCAGACAGTGAATGGCTACGGAGGACAGAGAAGCCAAGCACATGTTAGGACTTGATGACCCAAAACAAAACAAATAAAAAAAGAACCACTTAAAAAGCGCATGAGTACACTGAAACAATGATTAGAGCACATCAACCAACAAGCAGCTCAAGCAACGCAGTCCTCAAAGCTCAGCTTTGCACAGCCGTGAAGAGAACTGCTCTGAATTGTTGACTATGTTTACACACACTGTAGTGAAAAAAATACTGTTAGTTTTTAAACAGCATGGCAGTTTCAAAACTTGCCAACTTTTACAAGCACAAAGCGGCGAGTATTATCGAGCAATAAAACACAGAAATTAGTGCTCTGAACAAAGAGCAGTACAGCGTTGAATCACTCTATTATGGTGGGCTAGGTTTTATACGGTAAGGTAGGTGGGAACAAAAAACAGACAAGAACTTGAAGGTGAGGTATGTCAGTGTCAAGAAGAGGAGGCCCTTTGCTGCTCTTTGACAAGCAGCTGAGTGTTACCTGCTCGTTGACAGTGAGTGGGGCATCTTTGGCAGGAAGGTCCTGGGAGTTCATGGCTGCACCACCACAGGCACGCTCTTCCTGGCATTCTGGGTGAACAAAAAGTGATTATGCAAATATTCCACTTTTCTAATTCTCTACGCAGCCTATTTAGATTTAAATAGATATTTCGGCCTTTTGAAGTCGGGCTTTGGTCTAAAAAGTATGAATGTTGAATAGATAACCTGCTGCTGATAGCTCATTGAATGGCCTCAGTCATCAACATATATTGGTGATTTGTTGACATATATTTGAATTGTTATACAGTATAACTAGAGACAGAATCAGAAGCCCAACGTTGAAGCAACAAAGAAAGCCCCCTAGTGGCTGGCTGCAGTACTACTTKTATGTGCAGGTCCTCCACGGAAGTCAAAGGAACATTTTAATTACATTTTGGGGCATATTGGGATGTTTCTCAACCTAAAAAATGTCTTCTTAATCCTTTTTTTTWACTTTTGATATATGCTTCAACTATTCAAGAGAAGAAGAGTGGGCAATAAGAGCATAAAAAAGAGCTGCTAAGAAACCAGATGTCAGTGAGTGCACATAAAAATGTACTTTTGGAGAAACGCTGATAACTGAGAATAAAACCGTGTTGAGAAACATCATCAGTCACTGTAGCACAGAGCATCAGTTAGCGTTTGGGTCAAAATTAAAAATAATACAGGCAGAAGTTTTGTTACACTTAATATGCCACCTGTGTGTTTAGTGCTCCTCTGGCAGCAACCATAAACCAGACATTTTGGCTTGCATATGCCTGCAGAGTTTACCATTTTAGTGTTTACTAAATTTCATATAAGCTACATATTGTTTTCTTGTTTACATGAATATGATCCTTCCTTTTATCACAAAGTATAATGATAATAATAAATGTTAAAATTCACTGTTTATTTTTTTTATATATATATAATGATGCCCATTCTGGCCAGAAAACCCTCATTTCAACAAACTCAAAATGGCCCACGGGCTACTAGCTGAAGAGCCAAGTTTAGCACGTTGTGGCTCCGGACACATTTTATTAATGAACCAAGGGGAGAAAACGTCTCTTTTGATTTTAAAGGTTGCAGGCCCCTGTCACTAAAGTTAAGCATTATAACGATATTTGCCAAAAATTCTGTGGGTTTTTCCAAAGACTAACAGCAATAAATAACTTAAATACAGCACTTCTGGTGGATACCGCGCCCGTCCGGTGACACTGGAAGAAAATAATTATGTTGTGGCCACAAGATAAAAACACAAGACCACGACTTAAAGCGTGGTCATGTGGAAAATTAATGGATGGTTTTGTGTTTAACTGTTCAAATGTGCACCTGTATTATTA